GGGGGGGGGGGGGGTCTTAATGGCTGGATGGATGGTTTGATGGATGGATAGAAACATAGTTTGTAGTGATAAAACCTCCCTACTTCTTTGACAACCTTCACTACAAAGTCAGTTTAGTTTGGAGAGGAGCATCTATAATCAGATCATAATAATAAACTAATGACAGGTAAGCTAATAGCAAGGGAGTCAAAAGACAGAAAATCATAATATACAGTTTGTTTCAGATCACCATTCTGACAATAGCAGCTTCTAAACATTTTCAAAAGATATATTTTTTCTTCTTACATAGAAAAACTAAAAAAGTGCAGTAACTGAGGTCAATAATACAAACACTGATTAAATATGACATTTTGTAAAAATGAAATACATGAAAACAAAAAAAATTATATTTTTCCACCCTCCTGTCAATCAAGAACATATAGTAATATTTACACAATATATTTTTTGATTATTTTCTTTGTATTTGGTGGAAAATAATACCTTCACACTTTTGCTGCATTTGGTGGTATTTTCTTAGTTCTTAACTACATTGGTTTGAAAATTACACGAAATCTGGCTTACATTGTCACTTGTACATTTTGTTGTCTACAATGATTTATGAAAATGATCTGAAATGCTATAGCAGCCTAATATGAGTCAGAGGGACTGTGCCATTGGCCTAAATAACATGAAAAGTCACAATCGTGCTGAATGTAACCCTGACAATGGTTGCAGCCTAATAAGAGCAGCAACATGTGGACCAATATGCCAAGCAGCCTTCATTATCAAATGTGCATGAGAAAAAACTAGTGTAGCCTTCATGTGTCTGGAATGAGGAATAACAAAATACAAGGCTATTGTAGCAGCCACATGATCTAAAGAAGTTAATTGGTGGGGACGGACTGAGTTCACAATACTGAAAAGTGCTGATCAGAACAACAGAATGTACTTTTTACTGCAGCGATAAACAAGGTTTAAATGAATTACTTAAACACTGGACCCAGCAGAGAATCTTAGGGACCTTTGATCATATTGTGACTGCAAATGCTGTGTTGACATATACATCCAAATGTCATTTTCATGAATTGCATTGTTGCCTGCATAACTACTGCTGAGAGTCCAACACTAGTGGGAGGGGAGAGAATGAGAAATATGTGTGTACGTGTTTGAATGTCAGATGAGGTCTCCTTCCACCTATACTCATTCTCACTAAGAGCCAGGACCTATTTCCAGCCCTTTAGTTCTTCCTCTTGTGTGACTGTGCAGTACTGTGTTATCAAAAAGGCTGAAGACTTCTGACAAGCATTGAATACATTCCAAACAGGCTGGGATGATTTTATCTTCAGTTTGAACATTTTTGATTTGGTGCTTGAGGTAACAAAGTTCTGATCAAGCGCCATGAGGGAGGAGTTCAAATTGAAACTAAAATCAACCCAACCCGAAGTGAGGTGTTAACGATGACATTCTTTAAGTCGTGGTCAATGTATTTTTTCTTGGGCTATTGGGTTAAAAGGAAATGACAAGTGAGGTTCTGGGGTTTTTTAAAGTTCTTAGTGCATTTCATGTGGTGTTGTCGACATGTATTCTATGAAAGTATCATGAACCGACATGCACGTGTAAATGAATGCTTTAAAGAGGTACTGTAAGCAGCAAGGCAGACAATGCTGTCTAACCCCATTAGATATTATGATGTGAAGATGGCAAGTAGCAGCAAACACAGTAGCAGAAGCCATGCTAAAAATGTTTTAATTATGCATTCAGGATTTTGCTCTAAATATAAAATATTCTTAGGAAATAATGTGTATTGTTGTGCAACAGTAAATTGGCATTTTTTGTGTGTGTGTTTGTGCCTTTTAATCTGGCTTTTGTGTTGAATATGTGGCTTGAAACTCAATAATATGGCTGTCTCATTCCCCACCAAGCTAGGAATAACCTCTATAGCCTCTACTGTAAAGGGCATATAGATACAAAGTGACTGACCAGTTTGAAACCAGGAATGATATACGCACAAACTTCTAGCCTCTCCGAAAAGGTGTTGAACATGCCTGTAAAGTGTCTGAGGAATATTTTTTAAAATCTGTCTTTTGATTTTCTTCATATTTGCAAAACAGGGAGTCAACATCAACACAATCCCTCACTTGCACATTTTGATTTACCTTTGGTTCAATCATGTGATTGTAAAGCAAGGTCACTAAAATAGACACTGAAGCCAGCACAAAACTGAACAAAAGGCATGCTACCTAGGCTTGGTTACATTTTTGTTTAGGTTTTTTTTCTCCTTGCTGTATACGTTTTTTTTTTTTTTTTTGATGATGATGATGATGATGATGATATAGCAGGGTTACTTTCCTTTGAGCTGAGAAATGAAGTTTCTGTGGAGTCTCATGATTCCCATCCTCTATTCTTGATCTTGGTCTGTGATGTGGAGGAGGCATTTCAGCTGGTCAGGGTTGCAGTATGGATGGAGAGGTATGCCTGTTAAGCAGCATGTGCAGGAAATTGGAGGCTGAGAGAAGGATGAAGGAGGGGTCTGCCTCGGCCACTCAGGCTGTGTTGTGTTGCAGCAAGGGTACGACGCTGAACTGAGGTCCCTACTCAGGTTGGTCACCCCAGAGAATGCACATGTTCCTCCTTTCTGTTCTCCATAGCATTCAGATCCCGACAGGAGCACTCATCCCGGATGTCACAGGACATGGGGAATGGAATCACCTGAGTGGGAGAGAAAATCAAAAATATGTCATTTAAATAAATACAAAAATATTCTGATCTTCCATTGCAGTGGTAAAACCTCAAAAACAAAGTGGTTCATGTTAGGGGAAGGACATGGTTTTGGAAAGAAATCACAATTTGTTAAGGTTGGGGATAACTTGGTGGTTTGGATTGCGATATTGAGAAAAGAACGTTGTCAACATTGTTGTGTATCGCGGTCTCCCTGGTTGGTCCCAAATATGGTTTACTGATCAATCAATGTCTATGGATTTTGTTACTCCATATTAATGTCACTTGATTTATTCATCATAAATAATATGACCATAAGAAACCTTTGTCACATGAACATAAATATGTAATTGTATGGGCTCTATATGGGACTAGTCTCGATCAGTTGTCTCAATGTACCAAACTGCCATGTGATCAATGTATGAGTTCATTAAATAATTATTTAACCATGCTGTTTAGATGTCAGATGTCACACACACACACACACACACACACACACACACACACACACACACACACACACACACACACACACACACACACGTTCCTTTTCTTTTCCGCTCTCCTTGTAGTTGATGTACACCAGATCTTTGCAAATATCAAACAGGTTAGAAATTGAATCAGCATGCTTTTCGTTAGGCCGCTTGTCTCATTTGTAATGGGTTGTGTTCCTAAACTGAGAGCTAAGCTGTCAGGTAATAAACCATTAATAGTGGTGCTTATACTGAGGAATTAATTAAGAATTACCAAAGATTTAAAAAAAAGTTATGATGGCCATCCAATAGCAATGGTATGGTATACATGTATGTGAAACTGTCCTGAACTGTTTACCTAAAGTCCTAGTGCAAATTTCTTTGTAGCATTTCGTTTTTATTAAGCACATTATATATCACAATCTCAAAATATTAGAGAAATTGATCTCCCAGTTTCCCTGATAGTCATATGTCAAAGTGTTATACTGTAGGTGAAAATAGCACCGGAAGATCACTGGCCCTCGCCCCTGGCGCTTGACGTCATTGGATAACGTTGGCAATGCGTCACCAGCACCAGCTGTTGCAGCCTTGTCTGCTTTCCTCTCGGGGGGCCTGCTTCAGCTGTTTGGGTACACAAAATGTGTCCAGGCCAAACAAGGAACACATGTGGTCCAGGGCAGGCAGGCAGGCAGAAGACCATGGGCATGTCTGCTTTTGTGTCCTGGTGGCTTATCAGATCAATCTGTGGGCGCCTGCGGTGTCTCTTTTTCTTGTTAAAGCTGAGTGGTATTGCCTTTTTTGCACAATGGATCTTTGTATACAAAGTAAATGTGCCAACAATACTGGCCACTCTTACCAACACAGCCACTTGGTTGACAGTGTGCCTCATGTCAGAGAGCTATTAGTTCAAAGCTATTAGTGAAAGCTTTCTTGCTGATGTGGGAGGAGTCCATTCCAGGGGGGGGGGTTATTATCTGAATATGAAGTAGCTGCTGTATAATTACCCAGACTACTATTGTAATGTCATCAAACAAATTGCCTCATAAGCTAATATTATCTGGGAGGGTTATTCTTCAGGTAATTACTAAATGCATTAGAAAGAAAGGAGAATTTCCCATCCACTAAAAGATGCTGATAAAATAATAGTCTCTTTATTGCATATCCATCAACGTCAAATGTTTGGCTTTGAAGCTGACTGCATTCCTGATTGAATTGCTAAGCACGTAAATCAAAAATTCATTTTGTTATTCTAAATCGTAATGAAAGCCTAATTCCATTTCCTCAGATAAAAATACACATACTTTTAATAAACAATCTTTTGATGGAGATTCAAATTTCCCTGTGCCTTGAGGTTAAGTGTCCACTACAAAATAATTCTGACCGCCAATGAACCAGTTCCTTAAAGACCTTACAATAATAGAAGATTAAGGGAAACATATATAGAAAAGTAAAGATGAGCTGCTGATAATGAATCTTTCTTTTAAAGTCTGTTTCTCCCCAAAGATATTGTTCTTACTCCCGATAGCTGTGTTGCAAATGAAAGAAAAAATGAAAAACTGATTTGAAGCCATTCATACGACTTTGTTTTAGTCAAGCTAAAACTTTGTCATGGTATTAGTCACTTTTTGCTTTGTAAAATGTTATAGTCTGTGGTTAACGCAACACAGAGAAATCAACACCTGTAGTTTGTGAGAGTCAAGGATTTGTTGACAGTAGGTCCGGGGAATGACATGGGGGAGCATGCTAGTCACTGAGGAGCAGTGACGCAGGCTCCCCTTTGAAATGGGGTATTAAATAAGTTGTTTGTGTGTGGGGGGGGGGGGTTCCTAATGCGAGGGCCAGGTGGGCAGTGCCCAGACTCCTCTGAGAAAATGAGGCCCACACGTGACGACTTTACAAGCCGAGGGCCGGACACACTTCAGAAACAGCTGCACGAACAGTGTTTCCTCTGTGGCATTTTGAAGCCAAGACTACGGGGCTCCTAGTTCCCACCTGACTGAGTAAAACATTTTTTATTTTGTATTTAACCTTTATTCAAACAGATAAAAAGCATTGAGATAAAATCTCATTTACAATGCTGACCTGGCCAAGAAGGCAGCAACGTTACACATTATTACACATAACACAGAAATATAAAATACAGAGAACACAACTTCGGTAAGTAAACAAAAAGACGAAAAGCAGTCACTACATTGTGCACATTAGGACAGTAAGAAAGGTACACTACTTATTACTGCAAGAGCAGCTGGTGGTAAGGACCTCATGAGGGATGAGATATCTCTCAAATATGAATGTACATTAAATCAGTGTTGGTAGTAATGAGATGAAGGTATTCAAGTCAGTGTTCAATTTGAATGGCTTTTATTGACAGGTAATTTAAGTTTAGAAGACAATATTTGCAGTGTTGACACTATCTTTGCCTTGTTTCCTTTAGATTCTCTTCTCCACTTGACCTTGCTCTCTCTTATAGGTCCCTACCCTTCCCACTGCACCTCAGTTCCCTTCCAAGGCTACTTCTGTTTATCTGTCTATCTAGAGAATGATGGTGGGTGGCACATTTGACATGGTTTCCTTTGACCTTGACCTTCAGGGTGGATGGGCCAGCTGCCACATCTGGCCCTGACTTGAGGGTTCTCTCAGGGTGGCTGGGAAATGGGACTGGCTGGCCTTGTGGGCCTGGGGGCCCTCATGCTGCCCAATGTCCCAGGGCTAGAGGAGGACTGGGGGAGGACACCCACTAACAGCAACTTGAAAGCCCTTGTGAAGAACGCAGACCTTGTCAGAGCCCCATCCTTCCATCTCAGGAACAGGTCAAAATAACACAGAGTTCCTCTCATTACAGTGTGTGCAGTATGTGCGTGTCAGCCTATGCTTAAAGGAAAGAAGGTGTGTAAGGGGCACAGGCCTGGGGAGAGGGGAACTGGCTGAGTTTTTGGAGCAGCTTACCACTTAATGGTAGCCAGTAATTTATCTACCTAACTAATGCAAGCAAAACAAAGTAAATCATCTGCCAACTTATCTGTGTTTAAAAAAGAAAGTGTGAAAATGTACATCTTATGCAAACTTGTTTTTTCACTGGAAAATACTTCCAACAGCTAAACAGCTGAGAACATCAAATTGATGATAATAGCTGAAGCAGTTAGCTGTGTTTTTATCTGGCTGTGTTTTGTGACTTACTGCTTCCTCTTGTCAACAGGAAATGTGTTAGGAGCAACTATCTTCTCAGGGATGACAGAGATATGTGTATGTTTATATTTATCCCTTAGCAGACAGACTCGAGTTTGACTGAGATTAGCATTGTACAAATGATTTGATAAATAACTGATACACACTATTTACTCAATGCCAAAGCCGAGTTCCTGTTTCTTGCTTATTAAAGGAAAGAACGTTATCCCTGAAGATAGCTGCAGCTTCGGCTCAAGCTAACTAAAGGTAGAGCAAAATCTATATGTTCAAGTTTGAAAATTCTAATAAATCTGTCACGGGACCACTGTGACATCTGACAGAAAAGCAATAGTCTCAGGAAATTGTTTTAAAAGGTTGAACAGACGTGTAAATGGGAGAAAAGGAAAGAAACACAGCAAGAATATAGAGTTTAATGGATACAATTAGGATAAGGAACCAGCAAATAAGAGAAAAACTACCACATAGCTTAGTTTATCAAAATAAGTGTGAGCACTTAGCATCAGCAAACAGCCAAAACCACTAAAACCGTTGGGAGTATGTCCCTCCTGTTGTGTAACTACCTTTGCTCAGCTGTGTAGAAAAGCCCTGCACCTCCCTCCACACTACACTTCTCCCCCTCCCTCAGATACATGTTGCCCCCATGTATTTTCTACCCTCAGCCCACACAGACACAGAACATTTGGGAATAAAGGAAGCTATGGCATGCTGCTGCTTTTTTATTTTTTTATATTTGCCATTACCATTGCAATTGTTTGAAAAAAACAAACAAGAAAGTTACTAAAGTAAGTAAAGGGTAAGAAAGCAACCTTTTTCTCCCCTCTAACGGCCGTGGCAGAGAGTTGGCCGCTGGAAAAAAGTCAACTTAGTTGCCCTCAGACATTAAAAAAATAAAGAGCTGTTGCTGGCATGTACTTTTGGCATCCTGTTATGTGATTTTATCTGTGTGAGTCACCAACAGACACCGAGGTTAAGTGGTCAGCTGTGGTTATCACGGACCATCAGCTCAGACACAAACACCAATCGCGACACATCGCAAGTCACATATTAGGCGTACTTGTGCCAGACTGAAAGTTGTAAACTGTAGAGAGGGACAAGGAAGGATCCGAGCACCCCACCTCCAACGCAGACAGAAAAACCTACAAGCACATTTAGAGAAAAGTTGTTTTAGAGAGGCCAAGCTGTAAAACGATATAATCGGTGCCCTCTGCGTATGCTTACAGCATTCAAGAAAGGAATTCCGTCCAAACGGTGGGGGCTACAAAAAAGGGTTTTGCTCAGAAAACTCTCAGAGAGGCATACTCCATACCCTTGCCTCCTCTCCTCCCTGCCTCT